TCTCAAAAAAAAAAAAAAAAAAAATAGAAGCATTGACACTGGGCACAATATAGTTTTGCATAGGTGTCTATGAATTTGAAGAAACAAACACCTCTTCAAGTTTTTATAAACTGGTTTCAGGAGGTAAAGATCTTGTGTTGGCGCCCCAGGATAATGAGATGCCCTCTAGATTTGTAATGAAGAGGGGTTGTAGGCTGCTCAGAAAGCTGCTGGGTCTGCATAATGGTTTACCTTTAGTTGGCTTGTTACAAGGGGCTTGTGTAGTTGTAAATTTTATTTTATTTTTGGACAAATTGAATATCCTTCAGGACTTTGATCTGTAGGGCACACACTAGGCAGGATTCCATTGTCAGGTCTGCGTACGGTGAGCCTTACATCAGGACGTGAATGTGTATAGCGTTCACAGAGTATCAAAGAGGGTTTTCCCAGGTCCTTGTGTGGGTTTCTATGTAGACAGAACTGGCCATGAACTATGGACCAGAGAGCTTGGACTGAGTCATGGAATTGCTTCAGGGACCACAGTAAAGTCTAAGGTCTTGCAAACTTGCCTGCATGGCTATAAATTGGTGTCTTCCTCCAGATCTCTGGAAGGGCAGTACATCTCCCAGACCTAGACTGGGAGGAGTTTGAGATGGTTACATGGTAAGTTCAGATTTCTCAGTGGGACCATGTTGGGTGGGCTCTTTCAGTCCGTAGCCAACAAGAGAGGTCCTATAGTTTGCCACCTAAATGAAAGCCTGACTTCTGAAAAGGATGCTCCTCAGTCTTTGGCTTTAACAGAGTTTCACAATTCCCTCCCTGGATCTCAAAGCTCTCCTTTTTAAAACATTTTTTTATTTTTATTTTTTGGAAATGGAGCCTCATCTCTGTCACCCAGGCTGGAGTGCAGTGGTTTAATCTTGGCTCACCATAACCTCTGCCTCCTGGATTCAAGTGATTCTCCTGTCTCAGCCTCCCGAGTAGCTGGGATTGCAGGCATGCACCACCAAGCCTGGCTAATTTTTATATTTTTAGTAGA